GTCAATTCCACAAGACTGAACTAAAAAAAACGAATAAACGAATAAACACAAGGGAAGAAAGAGTTAACTCATCTATCTAAATTGGCCATAATAATATGTGTGTATATGTGAGAGAGTTAAATTGCTCACTCCAGCAACCACAAATCAATAACACTGAACAGATCAATACATTAAATTAAAAACAGCAAATCAAATTGAATCAAGAAAAAACACAAATGCTCTTTGTCTTCTATTTTCTCGTCTCTCTCTTTCCAATTTTCAAACACTATTTGTGGGCTCAGTGAAACAAAATCTTTCAGACGATGATCAGATCTCTTACGAGGAGAGCTTTGTGTCGTTTCATCGCTCTATTGATCTGTGGGTGGAAGCGCAACCATGATGAAAATCACAAATTTGCATCTGTTCTACATTTGCACCTGGAAACAGCCTGGAAAGCTGAAAATACAAAGAGCTTCTAGAAGCGTCTCTCCAGAAATAAACAATATGTGGAGATAAAATCAGCCAGATATCTTTGCTCCAAGAGAGAATCAGTCAACACTGTGAAAAGTCTCAAAAGAAATCAAATAAAAAGGTTGTCACTTAGCAGTTTTAACTGTGCAGCCTATTCGCAATAATAGCCAAATCTACTACAAGGCCACAGAAAGGTGCCCAAACAGCTCACTGCTTCAACAGACCGATACCTGTTTATATAAGCATATACAACATGACCATCTTTATGGGTTTAGAGGTCATTTCATAAAAGAAGAGGGATCAGTAAGGAATAAACAGGAGTATAAATCTGCACATTCACACAGGTACAATATGGGTCAGTTTCCCAGACCCAGATTAAGCCTAATTCTAGATTAAAAAGAATTATCAATGGCATTTAACCATTAGCTCTGCATTTTAGTCCAAGACTCGGCTTAATCCTTGTCTAGGAAGCCGGACCTATGTGTTAAACACCTCGGATTAGAATATCTGTATTTGAAGACTTGAATAAAAACTGGAATTTATTTTTTTTGAGAGAAGAAAAGAAAAATCCACACACATTCAGGTGCACCTAAGCAATGAGCAAGCAATGTGTTTCTCACTATCAAAAGCACAATCATATCAGAAAGAATGCAGGATATTTTCAAAAATAACTAAATATATGAAGCAGTTACATTAAATTTATTAATACACTTTAGTCTAGTTCCATTTCAGGAACGTTTCAACTCAGTCAATTAAGCCATGGAGCTTAAACACACTGTAAAATCATCTCTTGACTGATATCCTCTGATCCAGAATAAATCGATTAGATCTAAAGCAAATAAAACAAAACGGTAATTTAATTCACATTTTTAAAAAAAGAATTTCATTCATACAGTGAGTTAAGCTCATCTTCTGAATCCATAACCATGCCAAGCAAAGCAGGACCCAGTCAGACCCAACAAAACTCAACCAAAACCAAAATCAGCCAAATCCAGTCCAACTCAACAAAACTCAACCAAAACCCAACAAAACCCAACAAAACTCAACTACACCCAACAAAACCCAACAAAACTCAACTACACCCAACAAAACCCAACAAAACCCAACTACACCCAACAAAACTCAACTACACCCAACAAAACTCAACCAAAACCAAAATCAGCCAAATCCAGTCCAACTCAACTAAAACAAGACTAATCCAGCTAAAACCAGCCAGACCCAACCAAACTCAAAAACATCCAGCCAAACCCAACCAGACTCATCCAGACTCCATCAAAACCTGTCAAATCCAACTAGACTCCAACTCAACCAGACTTAGTCAAATCCAACCAGGTCCAATAACCCAACCAAATCTGTCCAATCCAAACTGGACCTAATCAAAGCCAACCAGACCCAACTAAGATCCAACCAAACAAAACCACACCAAATTAAACGGAACTAGATCAATCCAAAGTCACCCAGACCCAGTCAACCCCAACCAAACCTAACCATACTAAACCCAACATCTCAGAGTCTTTTCCCTTCCCAAAGCCCAGCTAGTGCTTCAGCGCTGAATCCCGATCCTGAGAACCCGGCTACCTTCTGGATCCTGCCGTCCACGTCCAGGTGAATGCTCCGGTAGGACGAGGACGCTGCTGAGCCCATCCCGCTGTTTGGTTCCTCTGGGCTCGAGCTGAACCCCTCTGAACCTCCCAAAACCCAGTAAAGCCACTACAGCCGGAGCCCGAAGCGCGCAGCAGTGCAGCGCAGTGTCATCTCTACGTCTGACTCAGAGCCACCGCGAGCTCAACCCATCGGCTCTCCTCGCGCTCCAGCACGCGCACGCGCGTGCACACACAGCCACACACGATTGTTTGTATTACTGCCTTTGTGAGGGTTTTCTAGAGGTGGATAGTGACTATTTTTACAAGGTACCGGTACTTAATTTTAATTTGGGCTCCATTTAGTTAATTTTTGGCCCAAAAGCATCCAAAAAAGAGAAGAACAGAACCCAAACTTCAGTTTCTGCGCTTCTACAAGCCAGATAAACTAAGACGTTCCGCTGCTTTATAGGGTTCAATAAGGAACCGGACACCTTTGTTTACCCCTAATGAAGTGGCTTATTGGCAGCTACTTTTATTTCTACTAGAGTCATTGTTGAGTCTTAAAGGGAAATTCCACCAATATTTCAAAAATTCTGAGTAATTCAGTCACTGAGATGTAAACAGAGTCATTCAGAGTGGTTTGATGTGAAACGGTTCACTGTAGAGAAACTTACTGACTCTGATTTCTTTACAGTGGTGGTGATGGGAACCAGGGCTCACAATGTGTACAACGCCATATAGCCATTTTATTTACCATCCAAAACCACCAGTGAACCTACATAAGCCTCCTGAGTTTTATATGTAATGTTGATGGTGGTAAAATAATGGTAAATCAGAAAAATACGTTTACCTTACAACACCGCAACATCATCACTCTTTCACGAATGGATTAAAATCAATTGATTAAAATACATTTCAAGCCAAATCCTTATCACAAAACGATGTCTCAGACATCAAGCAGCACGTGACTAACCATTTTGTATAATACCTTTCTGAAAGGGAGCTTTCAGAGGCATTAAACTCTTCAGACGTCTGGTTCCTATCACCACCACTGTGAACAATTCTGGCTCTGCAAGTTTCTCTAGAACAGTGCATCTCAAATCAAACCACTCTGCATGATTTTATTCACATCTCAACCATTTAATTATGTACAATTTTTGAAAAATTGATGGAGTTCCCCTTTAACTTCATCAAGCCTTTTGTATGACTGTGGTTAAATACACCTGTAGCTAAATACAACTAAACCCTAACCCTAACCACAGGTATCAAAAGTCTTTGGGCTGTGTTATGCAGTTATTGTAAACCAATAAATCAATGAGTCAATCACTCAATAAGTATCCATGTCCCTAGAATGTACTCGTATTTTCCATCATCCTGTGGCTATGTTGTCCCCGCAAAGAGCTAAATACAGAAACCATGATGTGCGTGAGCCTGTAGGGACGTCAGATCTGAGGGTCTCTGGTCAGTTCAAACACACACAGTGGCTTCTTCACCTTCTCACCTTCTCTCACGTTAACAGTTAAGGCATAAATGTTAATAGTGGTTTAATGCTTAATATATAACATGAAACAAATACATGACCTGTGAGTTACATCAATAAGCCTCTCAAGCATTCTGAGCTATATTCTGTTTGTATGGAGCTGTTTTAGATCTGCACTGCAGAGAGAACAGAGCAGGGTTTTTATGCATTCACTTTACTGTCTGTGCTTGATGTCTCACTGAACACCTGCTGTCTCAATTGGGCTCTTACACGTCCTGTCACTTCCAGATGAATACTTAAACACTTGACCCTTGGCTTACCTAGAGCAGATCAGAGGGACTTATGGGAAAATTATGGCCCTTTATTTGGCACTAAATACATCTTTTGAGCGTCTGGCTGGTTATAATCAGTCCAGAGAGAGAGGAGTGAAAAGAAAGTCCACAGAGAAACTGCATCTTAGCTCGACTGTTTTGTCAAAAAATATAATACTTTTATTATATATTAAAATGTTTATTACACACAGACTGTAGTCCATCTGTTTCTCTGCATACTTTGTTAGCTCCCTTTCAACGTGTTCTTCAATCAACAGGACCACCACAGAGCAGGTAGTATTTGGGTGGTGAATCATTCTCAGCACTGCAGTGACACTGATGGTGGTGGTGTGTTGTGCTGGTACGAGTGGATCAGACACAGCAGTGCTGCTGGAGTTTTTAAACACTGTGTCCACTCACTGTCCACTCTATTACACTCCTACCTTGTTGGTCCACCTTGTAGATGTGAAGTCAGAGACGATAGCTCATCTGCTGCTGCTCAGTTTTTGTTGGTCATCCTCTAGTCGTTCATCAGTGGTCACAGGATGCTGTTGGCTGGATGTTTTTGGTTGGTGAACTATTCTCAGTCCAGCAGTGTCACTGAGGTGTTTAAAAGCTCCAGCAGCACTGCTGTGTCTGATCCACTCGTACCAGCACAACACACACTAACATGCCACCACCACGTCAGTGTTACTGCAGTGCTGAGAATGATCCACCACCCAAATAGTACCTGCTCTGTGAGGGTCCATGGGGTTCCTGACCATTGAGAAACAGCTTAAAAGGGGCTCACAAAGTATGCAGAGAAACAGATGGACTACAGTCTGTAATTGTAAATATAAAGGACTAGAAATTGTGCCGAATTTTGAATATTTCTTCAGTTTGTCAAAACTTTGCTTAAAAACATTTCAAGATTCTATAACTTCCTGTTGTTTATTTCCAAGTTAAAATGGAAAAAAGACCCAAAAAATATATAATAAAAATAAGAAAACAAACCTTTTCAATGTAGTCTCAGACTTTTGGACCAGGCTGTTCATGATACTTCTATGTATTTTTCTGTAAAATATTTTTTCTGCCTGCCGAAAACTGAAAAATGACTAACCTATGTCTAATGTTCATCTTGCCTACAAAAAAAAAAAAGGGTTTTGCACAGTACAAATAACAAAAAATGACACGGAGTGATTTTTTTGCATTTATAATCTCATTTCTTCAATTACTGTATAAATAGCAACATTACACAGTGACTTAGATTTCCAGATGAGTCAAAAAAATATCAATGAAAAACAAACCCCACACAAAGAACAGTTAAATAGAAAAAAAGGCACAATGATTTCCTTGTAACACTAGTACAGCATTACACACAAGTTATTCATGTGAAGAGACATTCAAGCAACCATAGTGTGACGTCCCTACAGTCTAATGAGCTTGTGCTGTAGTTACTGCAGGAGAAAAGCAATAAGCCTCGAGGCCTACGCTGAATCAGTCTAACCGATCCGACTGCAGCATTGCTCACGATCACTCTTCGCTTAAAGGCAAAATGGGCAGTTTTACCGTCACAATAACTGAGGCTAATGGCGATTAAACAGCACGGTGAATTAAACTCATCTATCTGTTTAGTGTTTGTACACTGAACAGCGCAAATGAGCTTCTCTCTCCCCATTACTGGCCTCATACAAACACAAAGTTGTTGAAATGGTTACAAACAAAATAGGCCTTAACAGCATCTTCAAAATCTATAGCACTGTTTCTGCAATAAGGCAGAAATGATACCATGATGAAAAATAAAAGAAAACAAAACTGGGCTTTTCACAAGCCTCCTGATACCACAGTACAGAACGCACTCACCTGCTGACTTAATCTACGTCCACCCAAAACATTTCATACGTTTGAATGCATGTCAAACCTCTTCAGCATTAGAACGCTCAATATCACCGCAACCATGACGACACAGACTAGTACATAAAGACACTAAGGAAACGTCCCGTGATCTGTCCAGCAATCCCAACTCATAAATAAAAAACGAACACTTAATATCCACCACAGTACTGAAGACAGTATTTAAATAAAGACAATATTCTTCTATAAATAACATATAAGGTTCGCTTTGGTTTATAGAAAGGCAGATGAGAATGAATAACAACATATTCACAATGCACCCATATTTACATTTAACAAATTTGTTCATCCACCATGTGCTTCAAGGGACCTTTAGTGGTACACTTCATTCTACACTTACTGGGAGCAGGGAAAAAGGGGAAGATTCAGCTGCATGTAAGACAGGGGTGCACAACTCTGGTCCTGGAGGGCCGGTGTCCAGCAGTTTGGTGATTTACCTGCTTCAACACACCTGATTACACTTCTCTGTTAATTGCCAGGTTAAGTGGGTGTGTTTGAGCAGGGAAACCTGCAAACTGCGCTGGACCAGAGTTGTGCACCCCTGATGCAAGAGAATGGGACAGCACTCGCTGCAGCAATACATAGATTTGTTCCATCGACTCCACATAATTTAAATATTTCGCCTAAAATGTTAACATTGCTAATAATGATTTGTGGTCATGCTAACTGGCTCCACACTAGCTTTTATTCACTATTAGCCAAATTAGCTAATAATGTTAGGAAAAGTAAGTGTACTTTCAAAGGGGCAATTCAAGCATAAGACTGGCATTTCATGTTAACCATGTTATGTAATATACAGTAGCACAATATTGCACCCCTCAATGTTTAGGTTTGAAAGAATTAACAATTTTGTATCCTTTTTGTTTTCCTCCAGCAGTGTTCTCTCACTACAATACCCAGCATGCATTCTGCAAATGTGTCATACAATGACCTCACCGGCCCCAAAGTGCTTGTAGTTTTCCAAAAGTTACTCCCAGTTTTGATATATATCACCTGAAGGTTTTCTTAGTCTTCAAGTTCACTGTTGGGACTATTGTGGCATTGCTGTAGTAAGAGAGCTGGCATGTTGGCAATAGATCTAGCAATGGTAACGTGTTGGCCGGAGTGCCCCTTTACTGGGAGGACTGTTCTCCATCCTAGTCTTGCCCCTTTGTACTGCGCATTTGTGTGATTTCTCTACCCTTATATGCCTAGCTCAGCTCACTAAATTCTTCAATTACCCACATAAAATGCTAACACTGCTAATGAACTGAGGACATGCTGACTGGCTCCCCACCAGCTTTAATTCATTATTAGCCACATTAGCACTATTGTTTTTTTTTGTTTTTCCAGTTCTAATATGCCCACCTCAACTCATGACAAATAGCTGCACTACTCTGAGGGATAAGCTTGGGTTTAAATGAAAAGCTACACTAACACACCTAAAGCTACCACTAGGTCCCCAGAACTTGTTCTATTTCCCACAGAACCACTGTACAAATTACAGGATTCTACATATAAATATTCCAGGACCAAAATAAATATTTTGGTATCTTATCATTTAACTACTCGAAATTACTTAAAGCACACTGACTCTAACAACGTAGACAAAGTAATTTCTGAACACTTACAGTATGTTTGTTTCCTTCATTTATCTGACACATCTTAATGGTACAATGCCTAATGAATTCCAGTGGTTTGAACCAGTTTAAGAAGAGAGACCTCGCTCCATATACAGACTACATCCCTCCTGTACAACAGCCAGGGTACAGAATTGGAGCTCTAAATGGAAAAGTAAGTGAAGATTCAGTCTTGGCCCTTTAAGCAACCAGTGAAAGGCAAAGCACAGTGGGCATAACCAGGCCAAGGTGTGGTTTTGGTCCCGACTCAAGTTGTGGTCCAGTTAGGAAGTGGTCAGAAGAGTGCTCAGCAGGTTTATGGATAGAGACTGTCCACAGCCTCTTTCTCTAATCTCACTCTCCAATTTAGTGCAAAGTGCTCAGTGCTCCTTCAGCCTGGAAAACATACCAATATACCAATCAGAGTGTGCTGACATGCACAAAGTAGTCTGATAAATGAGATTTTGACAATAATCCAGATGTGTTTACATGCACATAATCTCATAATGGGAAAACTCCAGATCAGCCAGTAGTAATTACATTTCTCTCCAAATATCTGCAACTCTACAGCTGTTTTTCAACCTGCCAATAAACGCCCTGAAGCACTGAAGAAGGAGGACATGATATGTCGGTGCAAATCCAATAGAAAACAGAATTAATCCATTTTTTAATTCTTTTTTGTTATTCCTTTTTGATGTGTTAATGCAGGTGTAGTGCTGCAGGGCAATTCCACCAATTTTTTCTAAATTTCTGCATATTATAATTGAGATATAAACAATTTAACGCTTAGGCCAAAACCTATTCTCAAAACTACTGTTAAACAACGTCTCAGACATCAAGCAGCATATTCGATATCATTTCATACAATAACGTCAGTGAGGGATCTTTTAGAGGCATCAAATACTTTGGATGTCTGCTTTCTGTCACAAACCACAAACAGTTCTGTCTCTCTAAGTTTCTCTAGGATAACACGTCATATCAAACCACGCTGAATGAATTTTCTTACATCTTAATGATTTAATTATGCAGAAATTCAGAAAGTTCTATGGAATTTCACTCCACACATGTGTAGGTGTACTGCTTCCATGGGAGCTCTTCTCTATCTGGCTATGCAGAAAAACTAAATTTGCTGAATAACTCAATTTTGAGCTACTGGCTTTAATCCAATGTCTGAAGACAATGTATTATGTTGTATACATGATCACTTTAATCTTGAATAATATGTTAACTGTTAAAATCAGACAATGATATTATTATTATACACAAACTACACACTAAACATGTTGCTTTTATATATTTAAATAAAAACACTGTTTTAGACAGATATGAAAATGGACATGGATAATCATGGACTTACTCTACAGCAGCACCTGGGCGGCTCTTATTAGACCTCAGCTCCTTCAACACCAATCTCAGCAGCAACTATAAACAAACAAACCACACAGAGTAAACACATGATACTAAACATGCATGCATGCTTAGTTCAGCACAACTGGAGTGTGATCTTTGCAGGACCCACCAGCAGTGCCAAGAAGTCTGCCGCCATGAGCATGTAGAAGACCTGATCCCAGCTCTGCGCAGAAAGCAGTCCCGCCAGCAGGGGGCCTATTGCAGCACCTGCAGGCCAAGAGGAAAACTGAGTGAGTGAGTGAGTGAGTGAGTGAAAGGTGATACAATGTTACATTTACGTCCATAACTCAATTGAGCAAGGCGATGTCATCACCCCATAAAAAAGAATAATATCAATAAAAACGGAAAAAAAGAAACGGAAACGGAAAAATAATGCTACTTAGAAAGATGCCATCTCCCTTTCCATTCCCTTGGGATTAAAGATGGATTAATGTGATATACTCTCATAGAATAGTGATATAATCATTATATAATATACCCCAAGGTGTCTGCAGTAGATATGTATGACTTATTCATACCAAACCAATATGGTATGGCTGAAGAAAAGCGTGCCCTAAGGAGGTGCTCATGCATTCTGAAAAACGACTAGATTTACAGCTAGAGTATGAGCTTATACTTTGTTCTATTTAAACAATTAGACAGTTTGATTACACTTGAATATACTCTGAATACGCTTTATTAAAGTCTATGGGGTATGTCACATTATTCTACTGAAATAGTTAAAACCGCAGTCCCACAGTAAAATAAATAAATAAGCTAAAAATAAATAAATAAATAAATAAATAAATAAATAAATAAATAAATAAACACACAAATAAAAAACAATCACATGCTCAGGCAGGTGTTTGTTAGCCTGGAAAAGCAGCCCACCTAACTCTGATTTAAAAAACTCTGATTTAAAACCCCCACTGCTTTGCGGGTATATGCAGTCAGGGGAATGGTTTCAGGAGTAAACCCTGAGGAAGAAATCCAGAGATGGAGTCCCTAAGACAGTTTGAAGTTGTCAACAGCCTCACTCTGGCAACTCCTACGACAACACTCATGCCATGTTGCACTGGCATTTGCCTTTCCCTTGGACTACATCAGTGTTGTGGAGAGGGAAAACCTGCCGCTGGGCACAAGCTGGTTCCTTAAAAGAACCGGCCCAGGCTAACATCCTGGAGAGGACACTCCAACATCACTTTCTCTGTGAGTGACGCTCGCAGACAGCAGCCTCTGACAATGAACTAAGCAGACTGCAGATGGACACTGTGGCCCTCCAAGAAACTAGGCTGTCATCCTCTGGAATATTTTTCCTTTTTATGGAATCCAGAAGAGACCAGGGAACATAGGATTGGTTACGCCACTAAAAACAACCTAGCTGGATCCACCATACAACCAAAAGAGGGGACTGGGAGACTGCTCAAGATCCAGCTTCAAGCTCAAGATCTTCAGCGCCTACAGTACGCTACGTTAACATCTGCTCAGGAAGCTAAGAATAAACACTATGATGAACTTAGCGCAGCCATCAGCGAAGTTCCATCTCAAGAAGCACTATTTATTCTTGGTGACTTGAATGCCAGAGTTGGTAGTGACTACCATTGCTGGCCTTCCTATTTGGGATGATTTGAAACAGGAAAGATGAATGAAAATGATCAGTGCCTCCCTGAACTCTGTTGCCAACACAACCTCTCTTCAAACTGTCGAGACTCTGGGTGAAGACCAAGGTCCTGATGAAATACCTCAGATACTTTCTTTTTTGCTGATGATGCAGCTGTCACGACTCTCACCCAGCAGGAACTACAGTCACTCATAACCTGCTCTGCAGACGCCTGCAAGGAGTTTCGCTTCACGATCAGTCTGAAGAAGACACAGGTGATGAGCCAAGACGTCAGTATTGAGCCATCCATCAGTGTTCTTGACTATCAACTGGGTGTTGTCCATGAGTTTGTGTTCTTGGGCTCAATTATCTCAATCTGTCACTCAAAAGCGAGATCAACAAGTACACTGGAAAGGCCACCACAACATTTGCAAGGCTGATGAGGACAATGTGGCCTAACAATAAGGTCACTGAACACCCTCAAGTACAGGTATACATGGCCTGTGTTTTGAGGATCTTGCTTGTGACACTTGAACTCTGCTCTTAAAACAAGGACAGTGGCATCACATGGAAAGATAAGGTCACCAACTGTACAGTGCTCGGGAGGGTAGACACCATTTCCACGTTCACCTTCCTTTAACTGAGCCATATATGCTGGCTGGGCCACGCTTCACACATGACTGATGACAGCCAATTACCAAAAGACTTCCTATTTGGAGAGCAGGCATCTGGAAAGAGACAAATAAGATGACCACAGATGCAGGACATCTGCAAGTGCGACCTTAAGGCCCTCTCCATCAACATGAATTTCTCGCAATCACACGCCTCAGACAGACGTGCTTGGGAGCAAGAAGTGAAGAAAGGTCTTGCCAGGCCAGCAGAAGACAGGAGAACCCCCAGGAAGGCCTGCGCCCATGATGCCAAATCTGCCTGTGTTTTGCTGCCACTCCTGCATTGGACTGTAAAGCCGTGGCAGACGCAGTTAAAATCAGTCCACCAGAAACAGAAACCCATGATCTCTCGAGATCGATTACTTACTCAGACCTTAGATATTTACAAGGATTATGCTGACCTGTTTAAATCCAAAGCATTAATTGAGACAGTAATAAAATAAATTAGATACGACATCATTTATATGGTGTTTTCTACTGAGAGGTGTCAGTCCCAAACCCTAACCCCTAAATTTCAACTTGTGAAAATAATATTTAATTTTTTTTTTTCAAGTGTGGTGTTTTAAAAGATATTTTTGATTTATTTTAAAGTAGAAAGATTTGGATTTATCATGAGTTTAATTTTTAAATAATTAAAAAACACTATATTCAAAAGTGCTGTGCCAGGTTTTCATGTCACTAGCGAAACACAAAGAGTTTTAGTCCATAAACAGAGCCTTATTTTAGCCAAACCCCTGCATTTTAAACCAAAAAGACTGCATTGCTGTCATTGTTCCCACGTAAATGCGTCCCAAAGTCTGAAAATTAGTGAGGAATATTAAGAATTGTCACTACTGAAACACATATGCTCTGCAATTAAGTAAACTGTGTTGTATTTTTTTATGAAAAATGTTATGATTTCATGTGTGTACATTTAGTGGTGTCACTCAGTAAGTGTGCTTAGTTCAATCAATCGGGATTAGGAGCCACATGAAAACAAGCAAGCTGCTGGAGAAACAGACTCAAGGAAATTTCCACTAAGTGTTTATGCTCTGTTTCTCAGAAACATAAGAGACAACAGCACGAGGCATGGAGGAACACAACTGAAGGTTTCCAAAGAAAAGCCTATAAAAATCCTTGTAAGGTGCGAGTTGTCACGAGTCTTGAAAGAGCACAGTTCAGGTCCCCATTCCCTGATTCCCAGGCACACTAGACAATGTAGTAAACAGATAATTCTTCTGCTTACAACTTTAGCTGGGAGCTGACTAATGTAGTTTATATTACTGATAATATTAATTTATATTACTGTATTTTTCTGTTTCAGCTGATCTGTTATCGTAATTTTTGCAGGTAACAGAGTTATAGGTTGTATATTTTGAAGGTATTTTACCGTATAGCTCTTACAAAAAATCTAAAAAAAAATCTTTGTTCTACTCCACAGATCCAGCTAGGCATTAATTATTTAGAGCAATCAGAGCGTTCAGAGTTACAGAGATGGTTCAGTGAATAGACAACTAAAAGCACAAATGCTAGACACACCATATCTCTTAAGATTCATTTTTAATTTTGCACTATGAATGAATGGTTTGCTATCAGTGAAAAGAGTAAATGTGTAAAGCACATTAAGGTGAAAGTTAAAAAAATCCATTAAAAACAGTGCTGTATCAGTGCGTTCACTATCAACAAATAAATTTCTATATTTTTAGCTAAATCTTAGCCTATGAAACTGCAGAAGAATTCATGGATTATTACAGACTTTTATCAGTATTAAACAACAGAGTTACAAATGCAGCAAAGCCAACAATAAAAATCCTAACACAGATTTAAACATTACAATGCAAGTCTTAACAGAAATTAGATCCTCTTACCTACAGATCCTGTCCCGTCTATAATAGCTGTGACTGTGGACAGAGCTCTTGCATTGCCTTTCAGGCTCTTGTGTGTTCCCTATAAATCACAAAGTCAAAGGTTAATCAAAAAATGAAAGAGACTTATAAGAAACTGGAAGCAAAAACACACTCAGGTCTGGTTTTACCGGACCAGGACTAAGCCTTGTCCTGGACTACTTTTTCCTTACCATGGAGAATCTCCATTCAGAATGCTGTGTAGGGCAGGACAAGGCTTACCCTGTTCGGAAAACTGATCCTTAAACTTTTTAAATTAATACTCCAGCATTATCCAGCCTAATCTCTGTGTGCCACATCTGTAACACATACAGTTGAGGACCATGAACAATAACTAAAAACTATGCAGAACAGAAAAGAGCAGAAAATCCACTTTAGCACCTGCCCACTGGCTTCTATTATAAATGTGTTTGAGTCAACAGGTCTTCTGTTTTTTTCCGTAAGTACAGAGAAGTGTTGGATGTAGCAAGTAAAGATTAGGTTAAACAATTGTGTAGTATTCCTTTAATGGCCACTCACTCTGCCAAGTAGACACACTCACACACTCACCAGATCCGCAGACACAGCTGTTGTGATGAGGGCATAAGGTCCATTTACTAGCCCTCCACAGACCAGCAGCATGCCTGTGAAACACAACATGTGCTGTTAATTTGGAGAGTTTTAACAGATCAAAAACCACACTGATACTTCACATGAAGAACAGGCAACATGTATGATCAGCCTACTGTACACTATCAGGAACATCAAATCAACATCCAGTACACTGTGAACTTAAACAACTGTTTTGCGTTCATGTCCAACTACATTTATGGCTTAATAATGTATACAGCTGCTTTAACTATGCAGCTATGTGCAGATGCAGTCTTATTGTTATGGCGAAGTCTTACCGATTGTGGGGCCCTGGCCAAACTGGCTGATCATGGAAAAGCCATAAAGCTATAAAAGAGGAATGAACAGACAGAGTCAGCCACAAGAAAGCCCAATCAAAGGTTATATATGAGTAAATGTAGCAATACTGTCCTCCACTGAGCCGCCTACAGCATTACACTGAGGATTATTTCATCTAAATATCTAACTATTCTATTTAATAGGCTGCCAAAGAGAGAATCTCTTCCGGTCTGCAAGATCTCTATAATAATAAAAGCAATGCATTTGTTTTACTTGACTTAAACGTGTATGTTTCTGCATGAATAAAATATATTACATCAACACAACTTTGTCAATTCACTTATTTTGGCAATAATACGTAAAAACTTATGTACACATTTGAATATAGTACATAAAGTAATGCATCACTTTTTCATGTAGTAGTGGAGCTATGTTTCAGTGTAATTGTAACCTATTCCTCTAGAGGGCAGTCAAGGGACATACTGTGGGCGCAGCCAAGAGCAGCATTACAGCACAGGTAGTGGCTCTTTTTCCAAGCTTATCTGATACCACACCAGCCAGGATACCTCCTACATGCGCACGCACACACACACACACACACACACATACACACACAGACACACACACACACAGACACACACACACACACACACACACACACACACACACACACACACACACACACACACACACACACGTTATGTATAGAGCATACACACAAGTATTTATTTATTTGTATATTTTTTTTCCTCTTTAACAAAAATGTACAACACTGTTACACTGAGATTTAAAATGAATATACGTTAACTATTTACATATAATATACAATATACATATTTATTATAATTAATAATTAATATAAGTTAATTCTAGGTATAAAATAAAGAATATCAAAGTGAACAGGAGAAGGGATAGCCTTCTTTACAATTCACTCTTCCATGCAGTGCTCCTACCAAGGTTTAGTATGTGAATTAATCAAAAAAGATCAGCTTAAATTGTGCTGGTGAATTCAAGTTGGTTTATGAGTCAAATCGAAGGTAATTTCTCACATTTTCAGAACTGAAAAGGTACAGTCCCCACACCAAAACCAGGGCAAGAAATTTCACATACCAACAATTCCACCAACGTCAAACAGGGTGGAGAGATCTCCCGCTTCTTTTGAGTCAAGCTGAGCTGTGACACATAAAAAAACGACCAAAATAACTTTTGTGCATTCACGACTGGCTGTTCTACGACTAGTTATACTAGTTTGGGCAGTTCATGTAATGCTCAAAAGGAGACATTCTATATTCTTGTTCTATGAGCATGTGGCATGTGTGTGCTCCTCCCACTCACCTGCTTTAGTGATGTAGAGGGGCAGCCAGAACAGGAAGGTGTAGCTGACCAACTTAGCAAAGAGCAGGCAGAAAGAAAATTCCACCACACCCTGCACACAAGATCGAGAGAGAGAGAGAGAGAGAGAGAGAGAGAGAGAGAGAGAGAGAGAGACTGTGTGAGTGCTATTTTATACATATAGACCATTCAAATGAACACAAGCACAAAGGGGAGACAGACTTCTTTGTATATGAAAATGTACGCGTCAGTAATGTGTTTGTTAACATAAAACAAATAGGGTTTGACTAAATGTGTGCAGCAGCAGTGTGCAACTAACTGATTCTTCATTAGTTTAGCTGGTGATTATACTGCAGTGTTTTACTGCAGATCCACCAGATTCTCACCTTCAGATGCTCCTGAAGGCTTGACTCAGTTGTGTTAAGGAAGAAGTATATAAAAATTAAAAGCTGCTCAATGAAAGAAACTGTTATCAACAACGAGTGTGAGGGTTTTTTTACACAATACAGTAGAGTAAGTGTACAGCACTGCTAACCAATGAAACATTGTGGAAAAGAACCTTGATTAAATTAGATGTAAATAAACATGTTATGTTGTGTTGGTTGTTGACAAATTGATTTAAGTTTAAAATAGTTTTAAACCTTTAAAAGTCACAGTTTCTGTACTTTTGGTCCACAGTATAGATGACTGGAAGTAGGGGTGGCCAACATCCATATTTTATTGTACTGTCATAAATTATGTCACATTATGCCACGACACACTTTTCTAAGCATGTTGTGTATATCATCAGTACTTAGAAAGACAAAGAAAACATAAAGTATAAAAATAGAGTTTAACTGGATTAATTGCAGTGAAACACTGAATACAAATCACTGCATTCATAGTGTTTTAAAGTATCATTTAAATGTGGCACCGCTGGTGCATTCAGCCTGTTACAACATATAAAATCATAGAAAAAAAATAATAATACTGTGATTTATATCATGTATCTTAAAATCTTCAAGGATTGTGATATTGTATTTTTGACGTATCACCCACCCCATCAACTGGATGACAAATACTCACCGGTATGCAGAGAGCGCCTCTGAAGCTTATGGCCGACGGCTCTGCCTCACTCTTCACTACAACCACCTGCTGCACAGGTACACAAACCTCACGCTCCTGACCCAACAGCAGCTCCGTATCAGAGCTCTGAAACACAAACACAGTGTTACACCATTAATGACGGTTAGTCTGAAATGTAAATGACACTATATATTGTATGTAATATAATGTACTGTACATTACTACTATAATATAGAGACTGCTACCAATATCACTGTAAGCCTACTGAGAGTTGATTTGTTGGTTTAATACTCTTCGTACTTCTGCTCTGACACTATTGTCTATTTGTACTGTACTGCCTTACACTGTCCAGTACTATCTATGTGTACTGCTTTACACTGTCCAGTAATACAGTATTTGTACTGCCTTACACTGTCCAGTACTGACTGTGTGTACTGCCTTACACTGTCCAGTACTGTCTATGTGTTCTGCTTTACACTGTCCAGTATGGCAGTATGTGTACTGCCTTATACTGTCCAGTATTACAGTATGTGTTCTGCTTTACACTGTCCAGTATGGCAGTATGTGTTCTGCTTTACACTGTCCAGTATGGCAGTATGTGTACTTTCTTACACTGTCCAGTACTCACTGTGTTCTGTCTTACATTGTCCAGTAATACAGTATGTGTTCTGCTTTACACTGTCCAGTACGACAGTATGTGTAATGCCTTACACTGTCCAGTACTGACTAAGTGTTCTGCCTTACACTGTCCAGTACTGACTAAGTGTTCTGCCTTACACTGTCCAGTACTGACTAAGTGTTCTGCCTTACACTGTCCAGTACTGACTATCTGTACTGCCTTACACTGTCCAGTACTGCCTATGTGTTCTGCCATACACTGACCAATACTGCACTATGCCTTTCATTATGCTGGTCCGGAGCGATGATAAAGTCTAATTAAGCTGAAATGAATTAAATGAGGACAGGTAACAGTGCATTAGACTTACCTGGCTTTTGGCTCCCTGCTTGTACTGCAGGTAGAGCTCCTTATGGCCGTTAATGCCCGTCCAGCTTTTGTGCAGCTTCTGCCATAAACACAACAGAAAGTTCACAACACATATTTGTGCATATATTACATTTCCTGTAAGTGCTTTCTGTCCCTTTTCCAATTCGCTTCACAGTGACAGTTGCCGTGGAGACCACAGCAGAACATAAATGCCACAGCAATGTTCATGACATCTAACCATCATTAACCTTCACCTTAGCTGTAAAAACACACACAAATACATGGTGAAAAGAGAGTTTGAGAGTATACCTACCTGGTTATTAATGGCACCGTTCTGGGTGCCAGCATTCTTCAGATCATTTGGGTCTACAGAGACAAAACAGAGAGATAAATAATAAATAATGCACTCAGTACTGAAACGCACATGTACGGACACAGAAACAAAACACAATGCACAACCACACGGCAGTCAGAAAGTAGGAGATAAGACCACAGAACGTGTGTCCAAAGCAAATTTCCTCTGTAGACAATCAAGTTTACCTAATCTAATGCAAATATAAGATTGTTTTTAATCTGAATTGATTATATAGTCTTTAAAGTGCAGTCAGAGTACTGACTGAATGCTGTTTCCAACTGTATGTAGGCCTACAAGACCACCCTTTAAGGTCAACAACAATTAACAAAAACAACAGTAGCAAGGCACAAAAACACTCACGTTCAATGAGAAAGAGAAAACAGATGATGCCCATAACAGCGATGATGATGCCAGGGACGATGAAGGACAGCCCCCAGTTCCAGGACACGTAATACCCAGCAATCAGAGAGCCAAGGATGTTCCCTACCGATGTGTGAGAGTTCCACAGCCCCATAATCAAACCTCGCCTAGTTAAACACAAAAAAAAAATCTAGTTCAACATAAAACCAGGATACAGCAGTTTCAAGGATACAGGATACCAGGCTAGAACCAGGATATTCAACAGACCTGCAAGAAACTTTCTTTTATACAGAAAAAAATCTTTTATTTGATGATAGTCACAACGTATTGTGACTTTGTTTTTAATATTCCACCATCAGAACACTATTAAAAGCAATGTGCTCTGCCTCATGGATTAAGGTAAGTAAGTAATACTGTAAGGTATTCAACTCCATACCTGCCCTTCCCAAACCAGTTTCCAATACATGTCACCACACTGGGCCAGCCAGTGGTCTGCACTAAACCGTTGGCAATCTGTAACATACGAAAAAGAGAGAGAGAGAGAGAGAGAGAGAGAGAGAGAGAGAGAGAGAGAGAGAGAGAGAGAGACAAAGAAAAAAGACAGATCAGTTGTGTAACCATGTTGCACATTTATTGTGAAACACAAGCAGAAATTCATCTATCCCATTTAATTACATCAGCCGATCCCTCAGAAAACCACAGAATCAGGAAAACTGTAAATGCTCTACTGTGCTGTACAAAACACTCCAAAAATAAAAGGTGCGACTTGTAAAGAACCTAAATAACTTTTTAATGGCTGCTTGTTTAAAAAAAAACATTTTTGTAAATGAGATACGAGAGTGTGAAGAACTTTTTAAGGGGAATTCCACTGATTTAAAACCCACAGGACATTTCAGTAGTTTTTTGGCTCATCCAGGTGGTCTTTAACAAACTTTAAACAAGCAGCAATGTTCTTCTCATTAGATTAGTGGGTTCCTTCTTGCTATCGTTCTATAAATAGGATTCCTGCTGAGCGTTTGCCTGATAGTGGAGACACGAACTCTGACATCTGCCTGACAGTGAACCTGCGAAGTCCAAACTCTTCAGAAATCGTTTTGTAACATCTTCCCATCTGATAAGCATGAACAACTGTTTCTCTGAGATCCTCAGAAATCTCTCTTGACTGAGATGTTGTGTGCAGAAGAAGTCCAGAAGACAAGACTTTGAGTCTTTGATAGTGAAGGATCAGGTTGATGTTTTACAAATACAGCAAGGTTACTCACACTCACACCTGACTGTCATCCAATTGAAACCTCCTGACTCTTATTTATTATCCCCTAAACTAAGTTAATCATTCTAGAGGTTCACACATTTTTGCCACCAAAGGCATTTAATAGTAGATGACTTTGTTCAATAAAACAATGAAAAACTATACACTCATTTGTGTTACTTGTTTTATCAGGTTCTCTTTCTTTCTTGTTATGAATAAGATGCTGACCTGATCATATTTTAGGTCAGATCTATACAGAAATTCAGAAAAAGGGTTTACAAACTCTCTAGAACCACTGCACATATTAAAAGCTCACCTGAACAAAGATGTAAAAGCTGAGGCTGTGAATGTTAAAGACGTATCCCACGCCAAAAAGGCAGGTGAAGAGGCCACTGGTCAGCATGCCCATGGTCAGGTAGAGCCGGATTGGCAGACGCTCTCCAATAATTCCACTACAAGAGGAAACAACACCATGAGGGGCAATGTTAGAACTCAACGGGGAAATGTGGGGGTGTGTGTTTTCTTGAAGGGCACCAGTGGAAGAGGCAGAGATAAATAAATACAAGCTTATGTGGATGTGTGTTCTGCAGCATTCAGATGACAACTATGTGTGTGTGTCTGTTTTCAGCAAGATTCAAAGTAAAAATGCTAAAACAGAATGCCCTCTAGCTCATGCAGTGAAATCCACTCATTAAGGTCAACAGATGTGCTGTGCACAGTGGGTGTATAAAAGAATCAAAGCCAGAGCTTTCTTATTGGGTTTGAAGAATTATAGCATTCTCCAGAATGTGTAAATATGAAATATGAAAGAATATGAATAACAAAAAGCACTGTCTTAAGCTTTAGGTAATGACAGAATGTTCAGAATATAGTTCCAAAGCACAGGCAACAGGCGTACATCAGTGATTCATCTCTTACCTCAGGTACATGCCCACTGCGTAAACAAACAGAAAAGAGAGGTCCATCGCTCCCAACAGCTGCTTATAGTTTTCTTTATCTGGACACACATACATGGAAAACGTATGCACAATCCAAATCACAAATGTCAGCAAATAAGCCTATGAGCTCAATACGACAAGAGGACCACAGCTCTGTGACACTCCAGAGCAGAGACAGCGCATCACAACTCATCAATGCTCTGTGGAGACCACAGAAAGCTTTCTTTAATGACTTCAATGGCCAGAAGCAGCCAGAAGGTCCAGACTTCAATTTCTCACTCCTATAACTTAAATGGGAACTGCATAAACCAATCACTGAGAAGTAAAGAGTGGTTTAATGTGAAATGTGTCATTCTGGAAATATCTTCTCAAATCAAAATTTTTCACAGTGGTGGTGACAGCAGCCACATGAAGTGTTAATGCCTTTTGAAGCAAGAAAATTTTATTTAAAAAAAAAAAAATTACACATACTGCTACAGAAACGTTCTTAGACAAGGTTTTGGTCTAAAAAAATATTTCTTAAGTACATAGAGGGCACTGTAAAGCAAAATAGCACCCAAAGAAAATGTTACTGTCATTTATCATAGCAAATAAAAAGGCTATATTTGTGATGTAGACTCCTGGTTCCTATCACCACCACTTTAAAGAATTCTGACTTGTTACGTTACTATCGAATTAGCCGTTTCACATGAAATCACTCTGAATGACTTGGTTTACATCTCAACAATGAAGTGATGTAGAAACTTTGATCGGTGGAATCAAAACTGGTAAGTACCCATTTAACAGTAAGTCAGCCAGTTTGAAATGTTTTCGATGTTATAAAGTTAAAAGGTGGTGAATTAAGGGGCTAATAATAAATATAATATCAATAATATGAATTTTCTCTGAGAGCGAGAGAGAGAGAGAGTGAGAGACGTGAGAAGAAAGATTACAGAAATTAGACTGAAAGAGAACAGCAATAAATTCAATTCAACACAGAAGTAGAAACAGAGAGGGACAAGACAGCTCGAGAATGAGAGAGAGAAAGAAAGAGAGAGAGAGAGAGAGAGAGAGAGAGAGAGAGAGAGAGAGAGAGAGATAAAGATATACTGAGACAGAAAGGAAAAAAAAAAAAATACCAAATGGCTTCCAGCTGCAATCTTCTCCCACATGCAGGACATGCTCCTGACTGCTTTTGCTGCTTACAGTTGCTAACTCCTTGGACTGTGTACAGTTCTTATGTAGTTCGCTCTAAACAAAAAAAAACAAAAAACAAAAAAAACAAAAAACAAGTATTTGAGTTCATCATAATCACAACCAGGCTTTAACGCTTTTGGCAGGCTGTCCAAAAATTAGGCTTAATGGATCACATCACCCAAAAATGCTAATGCTGCCAACAGTGAATGAGCATTAGTCACACCAATACAGCAAGTTCAGTATTAAATTATGAATATGAATTATACTAATTGTTCTCCAAAGCTTATATTTATTGTCAACACTTTAATTTGAATAAATATCATAGAAAAGTATTAAAATTGTTAATAGATCTATAGCTATTCTGATATTCAAATTCAATCTTTTTATCAATCTGTTTTATCAATTATCAAACTCTTTAAGTGTTAAATAAATGAAATAAGTAACTACATTATTTACACATGACTGGCAAAATGTTATAAAAAAAAACAAAACAATTTCTCAGTTTCAACACTTGGTATGTTGTCTTTTGTACTGTTTTCAATTACATATATGGTCTCAGCTTTTGGGAACGGGGGTCATTCATCACACTGTGTTTAAAACCAATAGAAAACAGACGATAACTTGTGTTTAATGTTTGACTGTACATTAGTCAAATGATTGACACATTTGAATCATGTAAATTCAAACCACCATCTCTTTCAGTGTGTCTAAGAGCTTATGGCCACATGCTACTGAATAAAACTCTTCTGCTGCAGTTCTGTTTATCTGTGTCAAATTAGCATAAGGAATTAGTCTATTTGTCTATCAGTAGAACTCAATATGAACACAGTGTCAAACGTTTTAAATAAAGAACTGAAAATAAACTGTTTAGCATGCTGTACTATATAAAAATGATCCGATATATCATGCAGCACTATTGTGAGCACATGGAATAATCTACACATCTGTTTTAGATGTGGGTGTGTTAGAATAATTAGTCT